AAAAAATTTATAATTTGAATTTTTATCAAATTTTTTAAAAAAAATTTAAAATGTCATGAGAACAAAACAAAGGTCCTTGCAAAGTTAAAGATTGTGATAATAATGATGTTACTCATTATTATAAGTTTACTGTATATGCAAAAGAAAAATCAATTGCAAAAAATACATTTGATAAATATGATTATTTAGAAATCAATGATCAATTATATGATATGCACTATTTAATAATTATAGAGCCTGATAGAAATAATAAAAGAAAATCAGCAGAATTTATTACTAATAAAAAAATTCATGAAATTTTTACACTTTCAGAAGTTATTAATAATGAATGAAAAGATATTACAATTGATATTGCAAATGATGAAGTTATTTTAAGTAAAGATGATTTTATAAAATTAATTAATAGAACAAATCAATTAGAAATATTTCAAGCAGAAAATCAAAATTTAAATAAAGATTTAAATATTTCAACATCAAGTAAAATTTTTTAATTTATTATATTTTATTTATTTATTTATTTTTTTAATACTAATAATATTTTTATTAATATTTAGCTTTAAATTTTGAAAATAAATTGGATTTACTTTCAAAAATTCTTTTTAAAGAGCAAAGAAGATTAAATAATCTAATAGAATTAGATCCTAAAAAATTTTCAGAATTAATTACAAAGTCTAATTTTTTACTTGAGGGATTTTTTGATGAAATTTTTAATGCTATAAGTCCAAAAAGTAGAGATTATCAAACTAGAGAAAATGATAAAAAAAATAGCAGTTGAATTTTGTTATCTTCTTGCTGGAGCTTGGAATAAATTTGCAAATGAATTAAAAATAAAAATTAGGCTTTATTTATTAGCATCTGGATGTAGTAGTTCTGCAATAGATACATTAGCAAATCTTGGAATTTCAGCATGTTATAAAACAATTGATGATTATAAAAAAAAAATAGCAAAAGAACATCCAACAAAAATTTCTAATTATTTTACATTTTATGTAAGTAAATTTTAATAATAATTTTAAATCTATTTTTATTTTAATTTATTAATTTAATATATTTATTTCTTTAGCAAAATGGTATACATGTTTTTAATATTGATGATTATCATTCAATTCATTCTTATAAAAGATCAGATACTACATCATTATCAAATGTATATCATATGGCTACTTGTGTTGCAAAAAGAATTAATAATTGTGCACCAATCTAGCAACATTTAATAATATTTCATTTTTTAATCTTCTTAATATTGATGCAAGTTTAATTAACAAATATTTGCTTGAAAAATATAATGGAACTTTTGATATAAGTTATAATACTCAAAAATTTCATTGAACTAATCAAAATATTCAAAAATTTCAACATTTTAATCAAATAGAGCTTCTTACAATTCATATTTATAATGATGCAATTTGTGAATGAAAAGAAGAAAGATCAATAGAAAATGTACAAATTGTTGATATTGAAGAATATAGATTAAAATCAATAACAGATTATATTAAAGCACTTTCAATGATAACACAAATACCATCATTATATAAATATTTAGAACATAATATTTTACCAGTTGTAGCAGATTAGCCAGGACAATTATATATTTGAAAAGCTATTACTTTATTACAAAAAGAATTAAATTTTCAAAAAAATAATCTAAATTATCAAATTACTATT